CTCTGCAAAACTAAGCTGGAACACTCCTCTCATTACTTTTGAGGTAGTATAGGCCATCTAGTAGCCTAGTACTAGAATGTCTCAGCCATTATCAATTATACTGTACCTGAGCTTTTTAATGAATGTAAGCAAACAGAGGTGAATGTAGTTCTTTCCAGCCAACTTATAAGCTGGCTGAATGTGGCTGAATTTTGGAAGTGGGTGGTTCTAAAATTTGTCAAGGAAAAGCAGTTATCCCAGAAGTGGTCAGACCTTTCCAGTTGGTGTTGAAGTGCTTAAAACAAAACAAAAAAAAACACATTTCCCACTCACACACACACACACACTCAGTGTGAGGCTGTATACATATACCAGATACAAACAACAAATAAATTCCCCTAGTTAGGTAAGCTGACAAAGATTTTTAGTTTCTAAAACACTAAACTTTTAAAATTGTGTCAAATTGGAATCATTATTAATCAGTGAAGTTCTCCCGCTTAATGTGCTCAACAGGAATTAAGAGACCCCAGTGGCATGTAGTTTTGGAGTGGTTATTTTAACTTTATAGTGTTTGCTTACTTCCATCCAGTGCCATGTTTAAAGAACAAAATAAGTTTCCAAGCCATCTGAATACAAAAGTTCTAGCTTTTTAAGTTGGCAACACCACTGTGCAAGGATCTAGTAGGAAGGAGTTGCTGTTTGCAGACTGTGTGCAAGTGAGCACCACCAACTCATAAGACATCTACCTCAATCCTGAATTTGTTAAAAAATCTGTGTCTTTGTACTCTGCCAAAGGAAAATGAGATGTTCTTGGAATGTAAAATTAGTACCCTTCTGGAGTTGTTTTATGGTGATGCAGGATTCTGGTTCTCAAGATGCATCAAGACAGTTACATGCATCAGTAATTTAATCTGGATAAGCAGTTGTTTTTACAACTGGTTTCCTATGTTTGCAAAAACTTTTTCTTGTTCTTGAACCTTCCAGTGATCAGAAACACGCTGATGTTCAGCAGCTCCAAGAGAAAGAGGAGGAGATTGCTGAAGAACGACGGGCAAAGGTATCCTCTTACCCTTTTCACACAGTGGTTGCTGTTTCCCTGTTCTGAAGTATTGCTCATGTTTTCTTCTATTTCATGCCAGTAAAACAAGTATTGATTTTTAGTGGTTTCTACCAGTTCCAGACACTGGTGCTCAGATCATAAGATTTCTATCTCAGTAAAACTTCAGTAAACTGTATATCAGGTTGCACAATAAGCAAAAACAGATTCAGATAATTAAATCTGACTCACCTCCATGGAGCTGGAAAGTGGAGGTTGTATCACTTGCTAATATCAAGGCTCCACCAAAGGGAAGCTAATGTCACAATAGAAGTTGAAATGGATCAGAACAGGCAGAACTTCCAGCTCTAGCTGTCCTGTGTATGGGCAGAGTGTGGGTCAGTTGTGCTGGCATGAAATGAAAATATGTGTGTATAGCCAGGAGGTGAGTTCATAATGAATGTTAGAGATGTGAATTATTGGGTAACGGGATGATTTTGGTAGTGTCTGGAATGAGATATTTGGCATCAGATGAGTGACATCATTTGGGGAAAAAAAAAAGTAGAATGCATATATATATATATATATAAGCAATTTAAACATAATGAATGTAACTAATATTTTGCACTTTTACAGAACAAAGCAATGGAGGAGATGCTGAAAATCAAAGCAGAGTAAGTTTAATATTACACAGTGAACTGGAGACTTTGTATTAAACTCGTTAATACCACAAATGTGTATTTAAGGAGTCAAGTCCATGCCTGAATTTACAAATTCACTGAGTAACATTGAGTGCTTGCTCTTTTTCACCAGTAGGTGGTGGTAGCACCTGTTATGACATTTTCCAAAAGGTATCTAAAAGTGTATCAGGAAATGCTCTGAAACAGGTGGAAGCATAAGCAAAGCTTAGATTAGAAGAGACTTAATTTTGAATTGTTTAAAATAATCTACAAGATAAGGTTTTGAACACTTCTATGCTTAGTGACATGTGAGCACATTCCTTTTCAAATGCAACTGAAACACTTCTCATTTCTTTACTAACACTGTAAATATTACATAATTTTAAACTTAATCTAAATGTTCTTATGCTATTTGTTGGGGTTCTATTGCACTTCAGCTTGAACAACTAAATTACTCATGAGCAGGTTCCTACACTGTATTTGCACTAATGTGCAAGTAATGCTAGAAATTCAGGTGTGCCACATCACAGAAAGATAGTAGTAAAGAAATAATACACAGAATTAGTAGATAAAAACTAGTTTGCAGCTGCTCCTGCTGTTATTCGTAGGCTCATCTGTATTGCTTCAGGGACTCATAGCAGCTGAATCTCCTCATATTTGGCTTGCGGCCATCTAACGGCATGTTTCCTTTGTAGACAGCTTATTTTAAGGGAGGCAGAGGTACTGTTTTCTGCTTCGTGAGCGGAGTTGTGAGTCCTGGACTGGAAACAGCCCACTTCCCCAAAAAGAAGAGTGGCTTCAAAACATTGCTCTGCTTTAAGAGATGATGTCAAACGTAGCAGTTGTGCAACGGGATGCAATTTCCCTTTCTGCTAGCGCTGAGTTCTGGGGAAAGCTAAATTCTGTCAAAAGAAAGCCTTTAAAAGTCTGCCTCTGTGTCCAAAGCTGACAAAGTAATTCATCTGTATGCCATTTATGTTGGGTTTTGAATATTTCATGATGCGTTTATATTGGCAGATTAGAAGAGACCAAAAATGCTCTCAGAATCAGAGAGAATACCTGTCTTGAAATGACTCTGGAGATGGAACGAACAAGAGCTTTGGAACTGAAGGCGTTTCATGAAAAAGAAGAAATTAGATCAAAATTGGAAGAAACATATGAAGAGAGAGATAGAATTGAAAAGGTTATATATGTGTAATTTTTATCTTTCTAGTAAAATCTTACTCTGCAGAGGTAGAGCTCTGCTGCTACTTGAATGATATTCTAAATTAGCAACCAAAGAAGGCCTCTGAAAATGTTCTGCTTTACAGTTCAGGCGTATTTGTAATGCTGTGTACTGGTGCACTGGTAAATCCTAGTGGAACTGAGTACAGAAATCAGTGTTGCAATCTGTAATACAAATCATATGAGGCATTTGCTCTTCAGAGGCATCCAGAAGAGCACGCGAGAAATATGTGTTGCCTGGATGAACCAATTCTTGCATCATATGTTACAACAGGTGTAAATGTTAGTGTGTTAATCACATCAGCTATTTCTTTTGAAATAGAAGGAGGGTCTAAAGCTAGAAAATGTACATGATATATTTATTAATTACAGGAAATAGACGTGCTGAGGAAGCAAGTTGACTCTCTTGCTGAGGAGAATGGGAAATTACTCGGTCATCAAAATGTAAACCAGAAGATTCAGTATCTTGTGAAACTGAAGAAAGATTACACTAAACTCACTGAGGTGAGTTCCAGAGAGTAGAACACAGAGCAGCAGTCTGATATAAAGGAGACCTAAACTTTGATGATGGAAACTGGCATTCTCACTCTTCTGTTTGAGAGTGACACACACCTCTGCTTTTATACAGCTGTGTGGGCCATGCCTGCTCTCCCTTCTTGCAGGTCCCAAACAACAGTTACCTTTGTATTTCCTCAAAGCACATCTCCTGAGCTGTTTAAATCACCTTGAACGTGCACAATGTACATAACTTATTTGGAAACATGAAAGGTACGAGAATAAGGTCCCTTCCATACTCACAGTTCTAAATATCATTTTTCTGTTTTACAGGAGACTGAAAAACTGCGAGCTGAAAATGCCTTTTTGAGAGAAACTAGAAGATGTGACGTATGTAGACATCATGATCAGTTATAATGGCACGAATCTGCAGAGCTGTATTTTTAAAATGTACAGCATAAGCCAAAGCTTGACTTTTGCTGTGAATGTGAATGTTGTCAGCTGTATTCAGTACAGTTTTTTTTGTATTCACATACTCCTTTAGATTTTTTTTGCTGGTAACAACTTTCAGTTACCAACTTTTAGTGAGGAATTTTCTCAGTTAAGTGGGCAGCTTTCATTGGTGTTTCAATACCTCCCTATTGAAGAGGCTCTGTGACTCTTCAAAAACTGATTTTGTATAGGTGCTAACAGACACCTTGAATTGTTTGTATCTTGTCAGGGAGAACCTTTCTCTCTGGGAACACGCCTGGATTCTTCATTCCTTTTGTGCTTCTGTTCAGTTCCTGCTGAAATTTCTGAAATGCTGCATTTTCCACCTGAGCTGAATTTTAAAAAGCACAATTCCTTAGTTGTTTGTTTTACCTAAGCATAGGATGTTTTTACTAGGTGAACATAAACTTGTCAGATGGAACAACCCATAACCTTCAGTAGCTGTTTAAAGACAACTCTCAAATTGAAGTTTGCTCGATAAAGCAGGAGTGTGTATGTAATAATAGATTTGTAAATACTACCATACATTTTTTTGCCTTTATTCTTCTCTTTTTCTTATTGAAATTAAAATGCTTCAAAAAAGTACTTTTTACCAGTATACATTCTGTATTAGTACTGTAGGCAATGCACTCTAACCTACTTAGAACCATTCTGTGCTCAAACAGAAGATAGAAATGTGATGAGAAACATGAAGTTTGCAAAGGAGTGTGGCATAAGGCCATTTAATCACACGTACTGTAAGTAAGCGAAACGTTTCTTAGCAGTACGCAATGCACTGATCCAGGTTGTGACACCGAGCACTTGTCTTTTTAGTGGCTTCTACGGTCAGTAACGCCACCCTCTTTGTCCTGGGTAGCCACAAAGCTTTCTGCCCCCAGGACCTATAGGGCTAAGGAGAACGGAGCCGCCCCCGGCGCGGCCAGCTGGAGCCTCGGGAGCTCTGTGCGCCGTACCTCTGCGTCTGCAGCCCTAAAGCTCTATCGGTACCGCGTCCTTTCTAAATAAAGCCTTTGTATACAAACGTCGCCCTGCCCCTCTTCCTCTCGGCGCGGGGCGGTGCTGCGGCGCTCCCGGAAGCGGGGCGGGTTGCCGGCATGCGGCCGGGCGGCGCGGCGCTGGCCGCGGGGCTGCTGGGGGCGGCGGCCGCGGGCGCGGCGAAGCTGGCGCTGGGGGCGCGGGCACTGCGCGGCGGGGAGGCGGCTGGAGGCTGGGTAAGGAGGGAGGGAGGGAGGGAGGGAGGGAGCCGGGGCGGGGAAACGGCCTCGCTGAGTTACCGGCTGCGGCCTCTGCCGGCCGCGGAGTTCGCATCTGATGGAGAAGTGCGTGCGGGCGCCTCCTCGTGCTTCGGCGGGTACCGCTTTGCTCTTGCAGCCCGTGGAGATGTGCTAAACGTTTGGGGTATGGGGAGATGCTGAGCTCTGCGGGCATCTGGAAAACGTAGCAGGAGTTTCCGTGTGTCTACGAGTGATCGGAAGGAGAATGAACATTCCGAATCCTGGTGCTCTCTCTGATCGCCCCCCAAAAGATTCTGCTCTGCGCTGACCAAAAAGTAAAGCACGGAGTGTCAGCAGCTCCTAATGTGCAAGTAACTGCGAGCTGGGACTGCTCACATGGGGAGGGGAGGCTCGTAGGGGTCTCATCCACATCCATAAACCCTGCCCTCCCCTGGCACAGCTCCATTCTCTTGTGTCTGGTCGCTGTCACACAGAGCAGAGCTCAGCGCTGCCCTCCGCGCCCTGTGAGGAGCTGCAGCCGCCATGAGGCCTGCCCTCAGCTCCTCTGCTCTGCGCTGAGCAAACACAGGGACTGCAGCCGCTCCTCGTATCCTTGCCCTTCAGACTCTTCCCCATCTTGGTAGCTGTCCATCTTTGTAGCCCTCCTTTGGATGCCCACATAGTTCTGTGTCCATTTTAGATTGTGTTGCCCGGAACTGCACTCAGTGCTGCAGGTGAGGCCACAGAGCACAGTGGGACGAATTTCCCTCTCCCAGCTGGCAATATGGGCCTGGTGTGCCCCAGGTCCAACTCCAGGCTGGACGAGGAGAACTCCAGCGGCAGAACTCCAGAGCTCATTCGTGCTCAATTCTGTGATTATGATTTGTTTTTCTCAACAGATTGGCTCCTCCACTTGCTTTTCAGGTCCATTTGAGTGATTATTGTGAACTAAATTAATCAGTTTAGCTGTAAAACATGGGTTTGAAGCAAATGCCGATGTTCCCAGAGCTTACACGTTACAGGACCTGCAGGACCATAAACACATAAACACTTTCAGAGGGCTCACTGTTTGACTCCTGTGCACTTGCTATGAAGGCATTTCTGCAGAGCTGCCGCATAGGATTGAAGTTTGAGTTTTGCATTTGTGGCAGAACTACAGAAATCTACAAATGCACCTTAAAAAGCTGCTGACATTTGTATAGTGTGGAATGTAGCAGATGTTAGAAGTGTACTGATGCTTCTGAGAGGTGGTGACAGAGCTTCAGGATGCTCAGTAGCAGCACAGAGACAGATCTCTAGGGCAGACGGATGTGTGCTGGCCTCACCTGAGAACGACCTCACTTGTGGGGTCATTTTGCGTGAAGAAAGCCTTTTCTTTACTTTCCCCACTCTCCCGCCAACCTCCGTCTAAATTTGCTTCTGCCACTTCAGCGGTGGTTCTGGATTATCTGAAATGTACACTCACTTAATCTCTTCTTAGAAAAACAATCAGAACAGTAATCTTTGACTCACTGGGCTGGCACTGCTGAGCCCTTTGCAGGGAAGGAATTACACCTCTGTCCTTCCTTGTGGGGAGCACCCAGGGATGTTCCCATCTCTGCACTGCATGCTATTGCCATGACTGCTCTTCTGCCTGAGATGCAGAAGGACTCAGCCTCTCTGAAAAACCTTCCTCTGGACACGTGCCACCACCAGAACATGCTACAGCTGAGTTCTGAGCTTCTGCAGTAGAAGTTCAGCAGTGGAGTTTTATTGAAGACAGCCAGCATCCTTCTAAGGCTGGTAGGCTCATCGAGTAATGTGGGTCAGGCAGCACCTGCAAAGGTCTCTAGTCCAGCCCCAGCAGGGCTGGCTGATGGCTCATGGCTTTCTCCAATCAAGCTTGGAACGCCTCCAAGGTTACAGAACCCACAGCCTCTGCTTCAGTGCTTCTGTTTTTTCTTGTGTTGTATCAGCATTTCCCCTTTCCTAACCCATGCTTGCTGCCCCTTTTCATATCCCAATGTAACTCACTGAAGAGCCTGGCTCCGCCACCTTTTCATCTTCTTGGTGGGTAGCTGGAGACAGTATGAGATCTTTTTATCCCTGGATGCATTCAAGGCCAGGCTGGATGTGGCTCTGGGCAGCCTGGTTTAGTGGTTGCAACCCTGCCTGTGGCAGGGAGGTTGAAACTAGGTGATCATTCTGGTCCATTTCGACCCAGGCCGTTCTCTGATTCTGTGATTCTATCTTTAGGCCCTTTCTCCTCACAGTCTACACTGATAGGGTCTTTTTGATACAGAGAAGAATATACTGAATTTTTATAAAACATGGAGATATTTTTCATATCTTCCAAATGTGCCTGACCTCTAGCAGCCTACATGGACATACTGAGCTGCCCCGGCCAAGGCAAAATGTGCATTAATCCAGGCAGAGGGAGAGGCCCAGAGTAAGAAGCTATCTGGAGCAACCCCCATGCCACAATGAGCCGTGACATAGCAGCAGATTTCTTCCTCGAAGGACTGGTGTGTTTGGACCTGGCTGAGCCTGTGATCCCTCTCAGCAAGGTTTGCCAGGGCGGTGATGTGTCGGTGTAAAGGGCCTCGCACCGCAAAGCATTGCACAGGTGGGAATTGTTTGGGAATGTTCGCCATTGCCGTGATAAAGTTGGAGGACTTTGCTACCGATGGGGCAAAATGAGGCCAAACACGTGAACTCTGTGGGATTGGGGTTAGCCTTGGAGACTTTGTGCCAGCCATCAAGCAGCGGTTTGTTTTGATGATAGAAGGAAAGGATGCCATCCAAAGGGATCTTGCTGTTAGAGCAGGTTCAGAGGAGGGCCATAAAGATGATCAGAGGGCTGTATCACCTCTCCTGCAAAGACAGGCAGAGGAAGCTGGACTTGTTCAGTATGGAGAAGGAAGGCTGCATGGAGACTTCACTGTGGCCTTCCACTATTTAAAGGGAGATTATAAACAGAAGAGAACTTTTTACATGGGTAGATAGTAATAGAAAGAGAGGGAATGGTTTTATGCTGAAGGAGGGGATTTAGATTAGATGTCAGGGAAGTATTTTCACTGAGAGGATGGTGAGGGACTGGTACTGCCTTCCCTTACAGATTGTGGATGTCCCATCTCCAGAGGCGTTCAAGGCCAGGCTAGTTGGGAATCTAGTCAGCCTGATCTAGTAGGTGATGGCCCTGCCCGGGCAGGGGATTGGAACTGAACAATCTTTGAATTCCCTTCCAACCCAAGCCATTCTTTGGTTCTATGATTTATGGCCTTTCCCTTTAAGTTTCTGCTCCTTTAACAGCCTCCCTGGCTGGTGTTTGTTAGTTTCTTCTGAGCAGGAGGTGGTTGGAGGCCCCAGGGGTCAGTTGGCAGAAGGAAGGCGCAGTGCTGCTGTTCATGAGAGGCAGGCTGGATTTGTGGGTGGCTTCATGCCTGCAGCTTCTGCGCCTCAAGGGCTGATCTCACAACGGCCTTCTATTGACTGAGAGAGGCAATGGGATGTGAAGATGTTATCACTGTGGGCTGAGCAAAGTCTTGCTTTTCCTCACCTTCGTGGACTCCCTGAGTGTTTATAGGAGTTATTCTGCCTGTGACATCATCCCTTGTGGCCTTCACATCACCTGCTCAACACTGAGAGGCTAGGAAATGGGCCACAGCAGCTGGAACAGAGGATATTGGGTAGACTGCCTAAAGGCTTTTTAGGCAAAGCTGTGAACTTACACAGTGCTGACATGTCAGCTGCATTCCAATCTGACAGGGAAAAATAAGACCCTTTTCCATATGTCTGGTGATGGAAAGGCACTTCACTGCATGGTGTGTGCACCAAGTTGTGAGGCCAGAAGCTTTCTGGACTTTGGCAGCTGCTGTACCCTGTCCCAGCACTTCTGAGCTTGTACTTGAGGCTGGATTCATGTTAAGATGCCTCAGAGCCGTGCTCCATCCAGGGCTATTTTCTTGTTTCAGTTGCCTTCTGTGATGTAATATATTCATCTTCATGTGGTACCTACTGTAACTCAGTTTCAAGCCCATGCTACTCTGGTTTCAAAGTGTTCACGTTATAGTAAGGCTTAATAAGCAGTCAGTGAAAATAATCAGTTCTTTCCCTTTTGTCCCACAGCTGCCAATTCTACTTCGTGTGGGCTGTATTGGCTTGGTGTGTGCCTGCAATGCAGTCATGTGGACAGTCTTTGCAAAAGCCCTGCGACTGTCCTCCTCCTCGGCCTCTGCTTCTGTGACCACAACAGCCTCCAACTTCATCTCTTCGGTGAGTACATTCATTCCCAAGGTGCTGAAGCCTAGAGGAGCACGGTGATGCTATGTGAAGGGAGGCGTAGGTACCCCTCTGCAGACAGCAGTGAAATAATTGTGTCAGCTCACAGCTGTTCCTCACGCAGAGGCCGTAGGATTTTCTGCATGATGTGGGAGGAAGAGCATTACTGCCACGTGCCATACCTTGGAGCAGCTGTAAGGTGTTTTTTCTAATTGCCAGTGAGAGTTGGGGCTGGGAGTGTTTGCTTTGTTTTGGTTTAGCTAAAGCAAAACCTCACTTTTGACAGATCAAAGCCACCTCTTAGTGAGAGCACAAGCACTTTTGGCCCACAGGCATGCTTGCATTTCACTCTCACAAGCCATTAATCTTCTTTCTGTGCTCCAGCCCTTCTCATCCAGCTCACAGTCTTGTCCAAAATGCTCTCAAGTAAGTGGAGCTGTGTTTTTACTGACTGAAGTGGAGACTTGGTTCCTGAGAGGTGCTGGGAAGACAGCAAAGCATGCTTGCAGCTGCTGAAATCCTTGGAGTTGGGGAGCTCCATCTGGCTGTGCTTCCCAGCTGACTGCTAAACAAGGTTATCTCCAGCATCATCGTCATCCATATGTTGGTGACGATCCCACCAGGAGTTATCTCTAGCAAGTTCTCCTGGGCTGCTGAAGCAGCCCTAGAGAGGAGCTGGCAGTGCAGAAGGCTTTAAGGTGGTTCAGCTCCGCAAAGCTTTGTCTTTCTCTTTTCCTCCAGGCCATCCTGGGCAAGCTTGTCTTTGGGGAGACGTGGACACCATTGTGGTGGGTTGGCCTCACTGTGACGCTCTGTGGCCTCATGCTGCTGCACACTGCTGCACCCCAGCCAACACTGCACATGGTGGAGAAGAAGGGGTTGTGACATCTCTCTCCATTTCCAGCTTGGATAATGCTTCAGTAGTGCTGCTGCCATGTCCCAACCAGGTCCTCACACCATGCTCTCTCTCATTCCGTGCCAGAGCCTACTGAGTGCCTTCAGACCTGCCCAGCTCCCTTGCGTGTTTCTCCATCAATTTGCAAAGTCATGCGTATTGCGTTTTCCATGGTTGGCCAGAGCAACCATTCCGTGTGCCTGGTGGAGGTGTGGGAACAGTGACAACTTGAGGGAGAGCTGATCAGTCTGAGTCAGTTGTCTGGAAACCAGAGCCAGAGCTTATCAGCCACCCCTCCTCTTCACACCCTGCGCTGATGGAGCCTTCCCAGTGCCAGGACGGGAGGGAGAAAGTAAACATAGTGGCTGTGGAAGGTGACCATACATTGGTACTTTTCCATGAGAGGAACCATCCCAAAATGAAAAAGAAAGCAGAACTGGGCACTGAAGGTTGTGGACGTTTCTGCCCTGCTGGTGGTGATTTTCCTTGCTGCCTCTTGGAGAGGCCCCATGCTTGCTCCAGGTTCCTGTTGTCTGGAAGGTGGTGGAGCATTACATTAATTCCTTTGGCTGCCTCTATCACACACACTTTTGACTTGCCATCTATGTCTGTTGCCTGTAATTCCCAGTTTCCCATTCCTGACATGTTGCTCACTGTAAGGGGTTGCTTTTTCATTTAAACTCTTAACCAGCACTGATTTTTTATCACTATTTCTTGTTTGTGTATGTCATGCTGCAATACGGGAAGAACACCACGTCATCAGTCAGCCCTCTTCATTATGTCTGTGATGAACACTCATCACTTGAGCTGACAATTGCTTTAAGTAAAAATGTTTTTTCTCAGGCAACATTTTTTTTCCACTCCTGAAAGATGCTATTTTCCATTTGTGCAATGTAATTAAGTAGATCAGTGGTTCCCTCTCGTGCTACGTTTTGGGTCAGTCATTACTCTTCGTTGCCAGAATGAGATGTCTGCCAGTATGTTACATGTGGCAAGAATCATCATTTACAAGGTGTTGGTTTCTTTCCCCCGCCTGCACACGCTTGTTTTCTGTGGTAATTTTTGACTGCAATCCTAATAAAGAATCATAATGATGCCTAAAAATGTATGCATCATGCTGGTGATACCATTTGTTTGCTCTGGGCTTGCCAAGTTGTGTCTTCTTGTAACTGCAGAAAGTGAGTCATAGTCATGGCATGTGCAGAAAAGCCAAGGACACGTTTGTGTGAGCCTCATTATCAGGACCTGTCATGTTTGTATTAGCTGGCAGATCAGCTCCGTGCCCAACAGGATTGTAAAAATAGACTTGTAGGTGGAAATGCCACTGGAGTTGGATTTGTGCCTTTTCCTTCTTGATATCAGATGGCTACAAAGTCGCTGTCCCCTTGCTGCTTCAGGGGAGAGCCCTCGCTCCTGGTGCTTGCCATCCGTGTCCTGAGAGGCCACTTTGCTTTTCCCCCTTACTGTGCTCGTAAGTCTTGTCCTCAAAGAAAGCAACATTGGTGGGAAAGGGGACAGAGTGCTCCCAATGCCTGTTCCTCATAAATGTGGAGAGGGCTTTTTGGAGGCCAGCAGGGACAGATTGAGTGATATATGTCCATTGGCCTTGGAAGCAGGGCCGTGTTTCAGTAAGGGACAGACAGAGGAGGAGGTGTTTCTTGCTTGATTAGGCTGGCTGATAACTGGCGATGGATTGGTTTGAATTGGCTTAATTCACATGTGCTAGACAAGCAGGCAAACACTGGCCAGCTCTGTCTGACATAGGATCTGCTGAGCTGCCAGTGAGCTGCCATGACTCAGGGCGTTAGAAAGGAAGTTGCTGCAGTCAGTGGCTGAAACAGCAGCAAGCCTGGAGCAGCCCCTGCTCCTGCACACTTGAACCCCTCAGAGGGAGCAGAAAACAGCTGCTAGGAGCTAAGACCCATCATCATCCCTTGTCTGTCTGCAGAGCCAACAACCAAGAACTGTGCATTTTCAAGCCTATGAAATCTTGTTAGACTTTCACATGTGACTGAGAAATAACAAATGCTACAAGCCTAGTTTGTTTACCCCGGTGCGTTGCTTTGAGGCATGACCAGTCAGCTGTAAGCCTCCATGCAAGTGACTGGAGAAAGACCAGACTGGCAGTGATTGAGATGTCTGGTCTGTGGATAGCCATAGTGCCCACAGCGCTGTGCCATGCTTCCAACCTTGTGCCTTGCTCTTTGCCCTTGGCTCAATGTGCACAAAATCTCCAAAGCAAAATGTAGAATTTCTTTCCAGGCTCTGAGGAAGACTTAGCTCGTTTCTCACCTGGCATTGCCACGGGTAAGGACTTCTACCAGATGAGCGTCGAGCTCACTTCTAAGTCCAGTGCTAGAGTGCAGGAACAAGAAGTTTATCCATTCCGATCACTTTTTGAGCTCGTTGGTTAGTTTGATTGTTGCTGCCCCTCCTTTTTTATAGTTCAAAACTGCCATTTATTTCAGAATCACTGTTGCGTGCCAAGGTCTAGGAGATGTTCGTACATCCACAGAAAGCTTGGGCAACATTTTCCTCTGTGATACTTTTAAGACAGTAGAAGACAAACTAGGACTGTGAAAACGTTGTCCAAGACTTCATAAATATTACAAGCTGGAAGTGGAAACCAAGTTTTTAGTTCCAAGAGCTGTGGGAGGGAAAGATTGCTGAGCAGGGCACATTGGTGGTGGAATTCCTCTCTTTCATGTAAGCAGTGCTTGGTGGAGCCTGTCAGTACAGGGCCGGGGCTGCAATTGCTGCGTGATCAAATGGTGCTTCTTGTAAATAGTTTGTGTGTGGTCATCCAAAGTGCACCTGAGGTGATCACAAAAAGCAGTGTTGTCATTTTCAAATGTGTCTTAGAATCATAGAATCACCAAGGTTGGAAAAGACCTCCAAGATAATCCAGTCCAACCACCCACCTACCCCTAGTATTTCCCCACTAAGCCACGTCCCTGAGCGTATCTTGAACACCTTCCCGGGCAGCCCATTCCTCTATCCAAACCTCAGTGGCTGAAATTTTCTATGTACAGATATTTTAAATCACACACAGTAAGAGGGATGTGAGACTAACACGCAAATGTGGTAGACATTGTGAGGTGGCTGAAAATCATGACCAAACATACAGCCTTGGCTTACAAGGCCAGAAGGTGGGTTGTCCGTATGCTGAAACTACAGCAGTGCATGTGGCTTCTGCACACTTGAGCTCAAGTATTTATGGAGAGGATTATCCAGTACACATCTCCCCAAAAACTCACTTGTGTTTGCACATCTCTTAGGCACTGATGGCACTGAGTCTTTCCCGCACCTTTCCTTCACTGTCAAGCACAAGCTGATTTATAAGCATCCTGGTGATCAGATTCTTCTGAAGCAGGGCTCTGCCCTGTCATGCTTCAAACAATAGAACAATCAGGTGCATGGCGAACAGCAGGATTCATGACAATGCTCACAAAGATTGAAGTATTCTTGAGTTAATTGTGGGAAATGTTTGAAAATACTATTGTACGAGGAAGGTCTGAGAGTATTATATTCTAAGATAAATAATGTCCTGTATACCTTCACAGGGAACAAAACCAGATGAAATGGTACTTGCAGTTGAACTTCACAGCGTCGTTTGACTTGATTGGGTAAAGGACTATACGTAAAATATGAGAAGTGTCCCTATTGTCATTGACAATGAGTCATTTACTTGAAAGATTTGTACAACAGCCCAGTCACAGTGTTTATCAAGATAGCTCAGTGACAGTGTTTATCAAGACAGCTTACAGGATATTATGTTTACAAGGGTGGTAAGTGGTAGATGTGAGTATGTTGAATATGCTCGGTAGATTGTTCTGCAGTCTGGTGTATAAAAAATTCCATTTAACACAATTCAGTCCTCATGTGACCCTCCAGAGACGTTTAGCGCTGATGGCATTGCAAAATTGCAGTGCAACACCGTAAATTGTTATAGTACATTTTTCAAGAAAGAAAGTCTCAATGATTCAGAACAGAAGAGTAATGCCATGGGACTGAACTTGACTGACACCTAAAAAAACAGCGTGGTCCTGAGGAAAAATGAGATATTTGAGACTGAAGTACATGTTCTAACTTTGAAAAGACAACTGTTAGGCCAGATGTTTCAGTACTCTTTCTAAGGTATTTTTGTTTCTAGATCTTTTGGCACTGAAAACGCATCATCATGTTATCTGTAATATCTGAAATGGGCTCCTGAGCTGTTGGCAGGGTGGGCACTGTGTTGATGGTGCTTGAAGGAAAGGTACAAAGGCGGTGGAACCGGGCTCCTCTCTAGCAGACATTATTAGAAGAGGCAATAGGCACAGGTTGTGCCTTGAGAGTTCCAAGATGGCATTCAGGAAAAAAACATTTCGCCAGGAGTTGAGTTGCCCAGATGGCTGCTTCTTCGTTACAGAGGTTTTCAATGCTCAACTGGACAAAACCTCAACTGACCCAGTCTAGTACTGGTGACCTCCCACTTTGGGGAGGAAGTTGGACTTTCTGTGACCCGGGAACAGATTTCATGGGTAACACCACATATACTGGAATTTGTTTGCCTCCGCATTTGGCAGTTCCCATTAAGTGCTGCTGTGTTACGGAAAGGAGGTTCCTCTTTGAGGTACCATACAGACCTAGGCTACCAGGGGTGTGATAGCTAACCACAGAAACCGTCACAGACACTTGGGTATGCATTCATGGCTTGAAGAGAGACACACTGTTATCAAAGGAAAAGGGCCCTACTGCATGGCTGCTGATAGTGCGAGTTGCCAGAGCACCTGGAGTCCACAGTTACAGGCATCACCACAATATCCAGCCATAACACTTGGCACATGCAGGACAATTGCTCTGAGCAGCAGCTCCCAGGAGCACTGCATGCCCTTGAAGTCCCATGAAATTGTCAGTGCTGGGTTAGTGAGCACCGGGGAGCTCCTGGGGCAGATGTTGCACGGGCCTTGCAGGGGCTTTGCTACACCTTGCAGAGATGAGGCCACTG